TCGCAGCTCGTTAGAAATTTTGGCTTCTAGTTACACCCTTCGATAATTGTTTGCACGTAGTTTCCTACAGCTTTCGATTACATTTTCTTTCAATATTCCAGCGCTGTTAATGCGCGCGGAAATCTTCGTTATTTCGAATCTGCTTGAACGTGTTTTGTTTAAGGTGAACTCTCGAAAGCCATTTATTATCCGGCCAAGCGTCGTCTCCGATACACCCAGTACACGAGCGAACGAAAGGCGAAAGAAGAATAATCCCTCCATATGTTACGGCGCGGCAAAGAAACGAAACGATACCGAGAGCGTGTAGGATATTATAGCACCCCCGTAACAATGGTATCAGCCGCGCCGCGAGAACGTATCGCCGTTAATATATCGAACGGCCGTTGCAATCAATAATTCGACTCGCTCAACGGTAAATCACGATTCGGTGTTAAGGCTGCCTCTTCCGCGAGAAAAACTGCGAGGGGTATTAAATATTACATCGACGATACACCTTGCGCAGCAGCCCGTACGACACTGTCCGTACCAGTTTGCGTAAATCAGCAGTTACGCGCTTCCGGTCACGGCTGCTTTTCATTTCGAGTAAATATAAACGCTACAGGCAAATGAACCATGGTGCATTGTAAAAGTTCAATTATTTTGTAAGAACGATGAGAAATTCAGGGCAGAAGTAAATTGGTAAATATAACCGATTTAGATGCACCGCTAAAATGCATAACAAATCACCCTATGTTAATACCAGCCGATATTGCGAACGCATCAACGATAATGTACGGTTAATTCTATCGCGCGTACCGCGTGGACGTAAATCGAGAGAACATATTTCCCAGTTTCGCGTAAATGCACGGCATCCACTGTTTCGCGGGTCGGATTCGAAAGCCCAACGAACAAATGAAGACAAATTGCGCCCCAAATTGGTCGATTTATCCGTAGGAATTCTAATCGGAAGAAATAAAAATTCTTCCCTCTAGAGGTGACAAGCGCTGGTGATTCTTTCGTTACTTTCTCGCAGAGGCTGTAACACTGAGACCAAACCAGCTTCTGCCCGCATCTGTGGGAACGTAGGAAGGGAATCGTCCTGCGTGTGCCAAAATTCGCGTAAACATGTATCCGCTATGTACCAAGGATGTTCACTTCTGGCATTTACATGACTTACCGTTTCAACTCCTCAATTGCCGTCATCAAGATGTTAACAAGCTTTTGCAGCCTCTTCAATTTCCTTCCATCGGTCCGCATTTACCGAGGAGAGTAGCTCTTCTCGTAGACGCGGCGGCATGTTTCACCGAAAAGGCCACGTACCGTTTCGTCTCCTTTCCCCCTTTTTTTTTCTTTACTCCTCTTTGCTTCACCGGCAGCGACGAAAAGCGCGACAAATGAAAGAAAGAAAAGTACGTGACCCGCGATGGGAGCGTCCACATTTATATTTCTTCCTCTCGAGGTTTTCGGGCTACTGCTTTCTGCGCTGACACTAATTTGGCCGTTTCTCGTGTCTCTTGGTTCTCTCGAGCCCCGTCGTGAAACTCCTCCCTGACCGTCCCTCCCGTTCAAAGAAACTACGTGTTTTACATCCCGCCGCCGCAACGTACCATCGAATAAATGTCTAACGTAATTTAAGCATTTCCCGTGAAAAACAAACTCGGGCGGAAACTTTTTTCGGCTGGACCCTCCGTACCCCCCATCGCGACCACTGTTCTGGAATCCGATATAATAAAATGGTTATGAAATTACAGCGGAAAATCTGAGTTGTTTATCGACTAAAAGCTTCTGGAATTTTACCGAATAAATTCAACAGCATTCTATAGTTATAGACGCAACGAGTTTTCTTATAAAACGCGTTCCGATGGTTTCTCATTTTTAAATAACCACTGAAATCGGAGGTGAATACGCGTAGCTTTCGTTCTCTCGATAAATCTTTAATATCTTCGTACAAAAATTTGCTGTAAAAATTTAAGAATAAATGAAATTGTGTGGATAGTAAACACTCAGGGATAGAATAAATACTTTCCGTTTTCGTTATTGAACACGTTGTATTTGCGGGTAATCCAGTGCGATGGCGAATCATTAAACATCTAAAATACAGTTCGATGCCAAACATTCGATATCCGTAAAACAAGAGATGGGGAGGAATGAATCCGGTTTGTGGCGGGTCTAATAGCCGTCGTAAGTCACATCGCGCCATGGTATCAATAAAACGTTGATCGGAAATTGAATTAATCTCTTGCGATAGAAATTTATTTATCACGACGATCGTCATTTTTCCCCTCGTTGAATATAAGCTTATTCGTTATTCGATACTCTGAATTAACGGGGGGAGAACAAATATGAACGTGGATCAAAAAACACGAAAATGGATGAAAAGAGTAGTATAATCGTGAAGACTCGACCCGTTCTTTATTCCGGATCAATACGTATCAATTTATGCCTCGATGAAGGTGTACATCGCACTACATAACTCGTCTGCAAAGCACGCATCAATGGTCATCCTTTCCATCGACACGAATATTCGGACTCGTCGTTATTTACGGTATCGAATGCCGATCTATATATTTTATCGAGGAAGCTATCAAACCGGTACGTATGAATTACTCAGACGAACCTATATAGAACGTTCCCTATCGATAAGAGCTGTATTCGATAACCGATTGCTTAACAAATGGCAGAAGGAGATCGTTGTGAACGATGGTATACTACATCATGGCTCTTAATCGCAACTTTTCCCATCGCCGATATTTATCCCAAGAACCTTTCTTCATTTCCAACGACCACCGAATCTGTGCTTCGAGTTTCTAAAGTACAGTAGACCTTCGCGACGATAAATATTCATATTTCCTGATCGGTGCAACGTACATTATTTCCCAACAGTATTACGATAAGTACCAGTAAGATATATTCTTACTTGCGAAACTGTAATAAACAAGATCAGGGTAGCAAACTCGTTCGATAGCAACGAATAGTGTTTTCGTGAGTGGAGGCAAAGGTCCTTGGCTCGCCAGGACTCTATAGTCCCGAGTGGTCTCTACGCTTCGTTAAATGCGACACTGATATATGCTGACCGTTCACGAAACTTATTACTAACTTAGGAATTCATTTAAATGTATAGGCGAGCGGCAGTCATCGTCGCGGGACAACGGAGCGTGCAGATAAGGCAAAGCCCGTCTCTTCTTCCCTCGCTCGCCTCTATTTATACCCGTAACCACCTACCGGTTGCTTTCATCGCGGCCATGCAACTCTACCGCTCTATGTAGTCGCAAGTTAAAGCACCGTCTAATTAAGTGGGGAAATTACGAGCTCGTACGAGAACTCGCGAATTAGCCGGACCGCGCGTTGTTTCGGTCCAAGCTGCGAACACGGCAAACTGAGAACGACCAACGCGAAGACCGGGATCGTCTCGATGCTACGGCAGAAAGTAAACACGCGTCGCACCGACGATCAAGAATATTTAACTCGTCTTAAAAAATTCTTTCCTGATATGTTGTACTGATGCTGGAAGAGAGACGCGACGTAAAAATATTCCTTCTTCGGGTCTGAATCCTTTCAGCTGAGACAGCTTTATACCACGCTTTGAAAAGGTACATGACCCATTTCTCTAATTAAATAATGAAAGGACGATGACATAACTCGTCAATCGTACGTTTCCAGTTGCATAATTTTTCTTGCGAGGGACGCGATATTATTATCCATATCCGGATCAAACAAACGTCGTTATAAAACAGTTTAATCGCGCTTGTCGTTCGAGAGGCCCCGGAATGCGCGAAATACGTCTCGTTAATGCATCCCGGGAGATAAATATTCATAGCCGCGCCAGTTTACACGAATTAATCGGATCTCGCGAAACGAGTAACGCATAACACGATTCACAGTTTTATTTCGCGTCTGTTCCGTTATCAATTCGCCTCGAACGCGATTATGAAATCGTTAATTGCCAATTCTAAAATGTAAATTGCGACGCAAGCGTACCGCTCCAACGGATACGCCATCGAACGTAATTCGAACTTGTAAAAGAGTACAAGGTTTTAAATTCCGTCGCTGGACATTCGACGACGGGACTTACTTGAAAATTGTAGCAAATTGCCTAGCAACGACTGGTTCCACGACATCGAAGATCGAAGAGACTTACGCAGAGATCTAACGAATGTTTATTCCGTGTAGTTTTTCGTGGATATATGTAAGAAGGGATCTTCTAGCCTTCGAAGAAAGACGATCGACAAAAGAGATGGCAAAGGCGTGGTTAGACGTTACAGTTAACGTTGTTACCGAGAGGGATGAGAGTGATCGGTCGAATAGCTTCGCAACACGGTTGATCCGTGGTCCGTGCCGATGCCCGTTGAAACCGGTACACGAAGAGGAGTAGCCGGCACTCTGCCGTCTACCTAGATTATTCGAGATACTCCATACACCGCCGCGAAATCCCGGACACATTTTCCAAACCAACGAGCTCTTGCGTCGCTATAGGCTCCAACGGATGAATGCCCGCAACGGTGGATGTACGCGAATCGTAGCCATCGATCGGCATTAACAATGTACATACAGGCGGCTTCCATCCGCGATAAGGCTTTGCGATCAGCGATACGCGTATCGCGGATTAATTAGGAACTTCGCCAGAGGAGATCCCCGTTTCTGCATTATACCGTACGCTCTGTTCCGTGGATCGCAGGGACTAGATTCTAATTAATTCACTGTCCAACCTGATCCAAGAAGTTTAGAAATTGCTAGCGAGTGATTTCAAACGCAAATCATCTCTAGCAATGTATCATAGCTGAAGAAATTATTACTCGAAAACAGTTGGAATAGATTCTTAGAGTCGTTACTTCGTCGCTTATTAATTAATTGAACGTGAACCCATAAAATTGCCAATGGTTAGTTATTAAATAAAATTATAATTATAATTCTTACCGATCGCTGCGTCGTTGACTAAAATATTGTATCCACGTTGGCGTAGACAATAGATATCAGCATTAAAAGCAACAATTCGTATAGCTATACAAATTTTTCTATTGTAGACAAGTTCATGGATGAACGCGCGATGGACACATGAATCGAAGCCATCATGGGTGTGCTCCAATTGATCCCCCTGCTGCTGGCATCGTCGCCCTACCTTGTTCAACCGATCGGTGAGTCAAGCTTTCATATTAACGAGCACCAGAAGAAGATTTAGTCCGACCTGAAAAATTTAAAAACAATTATTTGTTAGTTAATTTCGCTAACAATGCTTTTCAAGCATTTTACGCATGCCTATCCGACCGTTAAGTTTCATTTATTTATTTATTCCACCAATTACCAGGTCGAAATCAAGCTCTGCGCACACTTAATGATAACATAACAAATTTTAATTGGACAAAGCGGAAGGGATTACACGTAATACCGCGTGGATAATCGAGAGACTACAAACACGAAATACAGTTCGTTGAATTGTCGAGCTCCGGTATCGCGCATTTTCAAATAGCTCCATTCGTCTTTGCCCGTATCCTTATCTCTTGCAAGTTACTTTACCTGTCCAACGACAGGAAATATTACGGAAGCGAGGCGGTAAGTTAAACCGTGAGGACGGAGAAGACGCGGAATTCTCGAACTGGAGTCGCGAATCTTTATTAACCTAATCGTGTAGGATGCACGTTTCGAATGCTACCAAGACTTCGTCGATATCAGACCGAACTACCGATGGAAACTCTAAAAGCGAGAGAGAAACTGCATTGTTCGAGGACTGCGATTTATAGTCATCCCGTGGCGACAAAGCCACCTTTTCTTCTTCTCGCGCGATAAGGACTATCTCGATAACCGTAAATACCGAGAACTCGGAGATGGAGGCGGAATAAAAAGGGATAACACGGTGGATTTGTTTAATCGTAATCGTGAAAAGATTATTTGGCGATGACATGCGACGGCTTGAGCCACCAGGAATCTCTAGTGTTCCTCGTCCACGGGAGTTCACCTGAAGGAGCAAGCCTTAATCACGAAGAAGAGGAACGGACGCAGAGACTTACACCCAGAGGTGGCCGGTTATCTTCATTCAAAGGAAACACCAACGGGCGCACTTCGTCGAACTTTCTCAATTAGTACTCGAGCTCGATCGACCAGGAGCTCATTCGTATTCACGATGAACCTGGGACCGAAGATAGAGTAGACCGATAGGCTCGACTCGCCTACGCTCCGTTACTCTTTCTCCTCTCACTCTCTTCAACACTTTCTCCTCGGACTCTTTCGCGTGGTTCCTTTCGGAGTCTTCGAACGATCCCCTTTCGCTTAATTCTCTTCTCGCGGAGTTTCGTAATTCGTCGATTTCACTCTTTGTCCGCGTCCTCGTCGGCATTTAAAAGCACCGAAAGGTAGACTGGGGGGTAGCCGACTAGAATCGTCGCTTTTAATTACTGTCGTTCCTTTAAATCACGGTCGGAATCGGCTGGCCGATCGTCGATATCTTCAGCGAATCATTACGGACGGAAGTTCGCCCGTCGAAAGCCATTGCACACGGAAACTCTTTGACCGTGGATCCGTTCAAGTATTTCACAAGTAACGGTAAAGTAACTCGGACGAAATTCGTTAAGCCTTTAATCAGGGATTCAGTCGTCGCCAATTCATTAGCATCGCACGAACAAGGATGATTCATTTGCCAACGATAACTGGTGCGTTTAGGAAAGTTGAAAAAAGAAAAGTATTTTATTCTTGTTGGAACGAGTTATTTCCTAAACGTGCTAATCAAAGATTTATATCATCGAGCAAAGTAATCGTAGCGTATTACCATGATTGATTTACGTCTGGTCCATGGAGCACTTAAAATTGCGACGTACAACGTAAGCAGACAAGCAAAAGCTCGAGAAGCGGTCTCATGCTCGTCTTTTATTAGGCCGTAACTGTCGCCATCAATGTTTATAAACCTTTAGCATGCCCCCAACAACAGATTCTTGATGTACTAGCAAGTAGAGCGAGTTGACGGCTCGGAGAGGATATAAGCAGTAAAATATGTTCGCCGGGCGGGCTGAAACTGCGCGAAATGCGCTTAACGAAGATAAAGGTATTGCTTCGTCCCGAAACAAGCTCCAACCAAGAAGCATAGCTTATTCTTCCCTGTAACGACGTACATAAATCTCGGGAAATAATTTCGCGAGCGTGACGTTAACGTGGAACACTGGTTTTTGCCGAGTTTTCAGGACAAGCGTTGCAAACTAAAACGAGAAAGAAGACTCGATGGAACGTCGACGAGCAGCGCAACGAGAATTTTCGAAACTTGCAAAAATCTCTTAACCATTGTCGAGTCGCGAGCAAATTCATCTCGCCAGGAAATTTGTTAAAGAATTTGAATCTCGAGCACAATCGATCAGTGTTTCAAATTTTGCTGACTACAGCACGTCGATGAACGGCAACTATACTTTAAGAAACACTGGCGCTGAGGAAGTTGGTAAAGAAATTGCAAATGGGTATAAGACGCATAGCGTTTTCGCCGTCTTCCTTAACGAAAATTCAGTCGGCGCAGTAACGATGAGTAAACTTAGTTTGAGCGCGTACAAGGCCAAATATATTCTTCTCGTTGCAATCCACGACCATTACTCCTGCTTCAGCATCTTCGTTTTCCTCGCGGACGATGCAACAAAGAAGATGCTCGAAGCGCGGTCGTTTCCATTAAAGAAAAATTTTCTTGCGAGCAAGAAAATGGAAAGCCGGAAGGAACGGGGGGCGAATATCCTTCCCTCTAAGTTGGTACATAGAGTTGCTGGCTTTTTGTTCCTCCCGCGCCAAAGGCTCCCCTTTATAGGAAGCTATGAACACGGTGAAATAAAAGGAACACTTTCCGCGGTGGGGACACCTCTAATTTAAACCGTGCATAGGCATAGGAGACAAATACTCGAGGTTGAAAGTGGTGCACGGTCAATCGTAGCTGAGGCTTAAGAAGCTGATTGAATCTTTAAGATCGAAAGAGTTCTGGTCAGCATGAATGAGTAAGAAAAACTGCATTTTGTGATACGCCAGTGAAATGTGTGCACAGGTATGCAAACGTTGCTCATTACTAAGTTCCCTTTCGCGAAAAGTTATTCCGAAGGATGTACGTTAACGTCAACAGGAATTGGCAGACACAGAGAACCGAACGGAAGTTCGACGTCGAAAGAAATTTCCTGGAAAATGTCGACACCGCGAACTACTCTTATCCCTTATCGGAAAGAAATAGTTTCGCATTCTCTGCTCCGAGGTCCGAGGAAACTTGTTTGCATCGTTATTGGCTGCTTTCGAGCACTGGCGCAAGATCCTGCTCGTGCATTGTAAGAATGACTCAATTTTCCTAAGACGTGCGCCAACCTCTCGGTAGTCGCGAAGAAAAACTGCCCGAGCACCCTTGACTGCTCTTGGAGATCGCCAAGTTCGAACACCACCTCAAAATTCATCTCTGCAAATTGTCCAATTACGGAGAACATCCACCGTTCCCCTTAGGCAGCTCTGTTTCCGTGTCTTTCTTGGAGATACTCCAACCATTTCCGTCGATAAGTCACGAAAGAATATTCCCGGGTCTCTAACAGGACGTCTCTTACATCCACTCGTTAAACTTTCGGTTCATTTATGCGAGCTCGTAACATCTTAGATTAATAAATTATTAAAACAAGGCAGAATTATTCCTTCCCCAATTTCGGTAGTGGAACACTTGAACTATATGTATATTACAGTCCATGCTATTGCGATACGGTGAACAATGGTAGTAGCACTATCGAATCGACGAATCGACGCAATGCAACCACAACGGTTTAATAATTCCTAAAGCACCGATTGTGCTACTTAAAGCAGTATCGGTCAGAGGGTAGAATTTCAACAATTCCGCGAGCCAATCAGTACCAATTTCATTTTAGCGTTAGATATCGTCAAAGTAGTGGAATTGAACACGAGCTGTGTTACGCGATACGTCGAACGAGTCAAAGGAGCTAGTTAACAAACTTTAACCCGCGTCCCCTCGGTTGGACAACATAATTCGCAACAGAGAGGATTCACGAGCAAAAAATATAGACACGCGTTTACAAAGTACGGCCGTTTCCAACAAGCAAATCACGTAATCCGTTTGGGTTGCTAAAACGCCGCAGTATAAGCGTATCAAGCCGGCTGAAAATAGGAGTACAGCAAATAGTTCGGTAAATAATCACTTTTCAGTCATGAAATTATGTTTTGACAGGATCGATTTAACGCATACCAGCCAGCGCTGCAAGCCAGATTCATGGAGTTCATTCAGACCTTTATCTGATGGTCAAAGCCCCTTAAGCATTGATCGCGTTCGCTCTATCGTGACTAGTTGAAACCTGTACCTATGAGGCTGACCATCGCTGACACACGTATACATATATCACGTATGCCCGCATTGATACTCCGTTGACGATATTTACGTCCAACAGCTACACCCTTGCTTTTGTCTCACCGTTCCAACCATATTGAGTGACACTGCTCGACATGAGTATACAATGTTCTAACTGTAACCAGATCGCTAACGTGCAAATTGATCCGCGTTGTCTGATTTCATAGGACATCCTTAATCGCTCGAACACCACGCAATCTTTAGCTGTCTATTCCATGCAACCTCTGATGCATGACGACACGACAGTGCGTGTACATTGACGCAACGTCTGCACACGTATAATTAATTTTGACTAAGAACAAAGAAAATCACCTCAAGGAAAAGTTCCTCAAGATTCGATCCGAAACAGGATTAATTTAAAATTCTGTCTTTTGCTGTTCGTAAATCCAATCGCGAGTCGTGGCGGATTTTTAGAGCGTCGCGAAAGCCTCGAGTGATAAGGAAAGACTCGAGGGAGGAGGAGCACGTTGCTCATACGTGCTTTTGCTCCTTGAAAGTAGCTGCGGTCATTGCTGATCTCATCGCAGACCGTGTTAACCCGTTGGCAACTCGCGCCAGCAACGTTACCAGCGACGTCGATGGAACGTATCTGCAGGCGGTGCACCTTCCTCATCCACAAAGTAAACTGCACGTTACGGAGATCCCTTGCAAGCTCATGGCAAGAAGACCCATACCTTTACGGGCGATAGGCCTGAATTGCTTTAAAGCTGCTCTGTCTTCTATTGTGCGCACCAACGTTGCCGTAATACCCGTGCTGGCAAACGCATACCGCGCGCATACCGTTGTGTTTGAAATATCATCATATTACAGTCTAGTTATTCGCAACGAAAGCATAGAGTACCACCAACTATACTCAAACGATACGAACACCGATATCGATCGAGTTTATAACTCCGACCCCGAGCTTTAGAGTTTTCAATCTTTCTAATGACTGTCGCTCAGCCATAAGGCCAGCATAAGCTCCAATTATCCGTGTGAAAGGACTCGAACCTTTGATGAGGCTCATTCAACGTTAGAACGAATTTCTGACCAGCCGAATGTAGTCGAAAGCAACAAATACAGGCTTTGAACTTTTGTAAATATCTGTTTCTGCCGCGTTGATGCGATCGAAATTACTGGTCGAAGTGTCAGAAGGATAAACTCCCCGAAAAGGAAGTCCCACTCAGCAAAAAAAAAGAGACTATATATGTATATATAATTTGTACCGATATTACATCAGACAAATTTTCGTTCCACGTACAGTTTGAATACGATTCACTCGACACCGAGAAGATCTCGACGCTGATTTCCTGAAAGGATCCGGAACAAGAATACCTTCCCATTCGAATTGCTACGGACGGTCTAAGGAGCGCTCCATAATTTCGTCTCCTTAGAGTCAAAAAATCGGCGCTTTAATCAGGAGACAGCGGAGAGGAGAGGTTTGCAGCCTCTTTGCGAATATTGCAGCTGGCCAGATAAGCCGAGCTAACCCCGAATTACGGGTCCCTCTCTTTGCCGGTGCAAATTAGCAGGCAGGCAGACAGTCACGCCTGGAGCAGAGAGGAGCGTACAATTTTAAGGCACTCGCTCTAATAGGTAATGCAATTTAAGAAGCTCGTCAACCAGGATGCCAGCAGGACCGTAGGCAGATGGCCAGTGGAAAGGGGCAAACCGTAGACCCACCCCTTGAGTGGTGTACGTAGAGTGAATCTTAAATTCTGTGGCTGCCGCAACCGCCTCGCTTCAGACTGCATAGCTGAGTGAATAACTTCGGTAATTACCAACGACCTAGTTGCGAATGACGCTCAAGGTAGCGTTTCGAATCTGACCGGGACCGAGCGAAACGATAACTTTTGATACGGTGCCACCGATTTGACAAGCGGGGCCAACTTTTCGAGGCCAAGACCGTGAATAACGCGCCCACGCCGAGATACTTCTGCCAGGGAACCGAGAGTTCGCGTTTCCGCTTATCTCGGCCAGACTTATTCGCAACTTCTGTTACGCGGTCTCGTCAAAAACAGAAGGAACCGTCGGCGTCGGTCCAATGGACGCGTTACATTTCCTTCCCTTGGATTCGAGGCAAAAAGGAATTTCTGGAGACATTCTTGGCCCTTTGCACTCTGAATTATATTACAACTTCGTTACCAGCAGCTCCCAACACTTTTAAGTGTTCTATTTGATATTTATTTTAACCATAACGTGTGCGCGACGTCTATTGCTTTAGACATAAAAGAATGTCGAGTCATACTCGACATAGGAGTGCAAAGGGCTAAACGCTTCAGTAACGGGAAACTTTTTTTCGAGATCCTTATGCCGAAACGAGTACGCGAACCTTAGCAACGAATCGCTACGACAAATGGGTTTAATAAAAGGGTGAAACTTTAACGTCTGCTACCAGGTTGGCACAGCTTTCCGGCCCGTCCAATCAGCGCCGAGTGCACCGACTCCTGCGGTCCCCGCGATCGCCGTACGATATTCTCGAGTAATGCAATTTCTTGAGTTTTCGGCTTGGCTCCAAGTCGTTACACGTACGTTACTCGATAGCGGAGACCTTCGGTCCTGGGGAAACGCCTGAAGCGTCCGTGTGTCCAACGAGAACTCCCGGGGTACACAGTGGAACGACATCGTTGTTCTTAAAACACCGGGGAAAGAAGAGCGCTGGTGTAAATCGAGACACCGTATTTGCGACGGAACTATAAAAACGGGGAAAACAAGAGAAAGATAAAGGCGTAACGACCGGTGCTTTAATACAGAGGGACAAGACAAATATATTTGTCCACGTCGGACTTCTCTATCCACCTACTCTCAACTTCACCAACTTGCTCGGTTACTAAACAGAAACAATTCCTTCGAATTCCGTTACGTTCGAAACCTTCGTTAACCGTCTGTCGAAACAAACGGACGGCATTTTTTGTTTTTGCGACGATAAAAAGATTCGCGAAAGCTCCGTTCTGAGTTCGTGTACCAATTTGCGCAATTAGAGTCCGTGAATCTGTTCGCGAACAGCGTAGACGTTCCGTGAAATGTCCAAATTAGCATAGAACGTGGAACACGATGGCGCGCGATTCGATTCGATTGACTCGATTAGGTTTCCTGAACTTTTAGCGTGCCATACATGCAAAGTTTCTCTAGATAAGGGAAACGGAATCGTTGCTATGAATTAGTTTCGAGAACTTTATCGAGAAAGTAGGCAAAATTCGGATAATTTGCAATGAGTATGGTTGTTTTAATTGCAGTTATCGAGTTTGCATCAATCGTTGATTTTATCCCGTTGACTCTCGATGAAACCACAAGCTTTTGTATGAATAATTCAATGCGGAGGAAATCGAGTGACTGTTTGTACTGGGATACCGGTTGCGAGGGAAGAGTGAATGAATTCTAAGAATACACACGCAGTTCAAGGCGGACGGTGATACGTGGCATGAGTGTGTGAGGAGTTTAAAACTATAGGGAGAGCTTTTTATAGGAACCTTCTATAAACTACCCAACATGTTAACACAGTGAATGTGCGATTTCAAATGAATTATCCTCCTTGTAACCGTACATATTTTACGAATGTATTGGGTAGTCTGAAAAGTCCATGTCGATTTTTGGTAGGTGGTACATGTCTGAATATATGAGAATGGTTGAAAACAAAGAACAAAATGGTACCTACATAACTCAGTAAATATATATCAAAATATGCCCTTGAATTTTTCTTGAAAATTGTCACGAACTTTCTAGACAACCCATAGGTACTAATACAATTCAACGTAATTTAAATGCACGATGTACGTCACAAGGACAGCCAAACAAGTCTCGACAATAGCCCTCTTGGTGTGGTCCGTAGTTAGAGAACGACAGGCATCCTCGACTCGCGCGGGTCTTTTTACACGCGTGTGATAGCGTCGCGTTAATTTCCTTCGCCTATTTTCCAGGCAACCCAGATCCATTGAGGGAACCGAGATGTATAGTACATCGGTGCTTTTCAATATTTCCAGATGGTGCCATTCGCGGCGAGAAACCGGCCAGCGAGGAGACTCGGAATCAGAATAATGTCCTTTCTTCGGTAGCTGCACCTGTCAAGGATGTCCTGGCGCAGACCGGCGGCAACGCTATGCTACCCTGTAGATTCACTGGCCCCGGAATAGTGAGTACAGCTACATGTATACAGACAAATATATGCGTTCTAGATGATGTATACAAGGAGACGGCTCCGTGTACAAGTGGACCCGTATACACACAACCTATAGGCCTGGACTCCGTGAACGCATTATACACGGGCCAATGCACACCAAGGAAATATGCACACTGTACACAAGTTTGCATGCTATTGTGTAAAGCGGGAACATCGATAAACACCCGTGTTGCAGATTGCGCGTATACAGAGGCACGGGCATTGCGCATTCCGAAACCGAGTGCGTGAAACGCCGTGCGCATATGCCTTTGGGGACACTAGCTGACTGTTGACGCTCATTTGGCGGACTTGCGCGCGTGTCTTTCATCCTGTTTGTTTCGGAGGAAATTTTCATTCCACGTGAACCGCGAGTTTTCAATGCCTCGAGGGCTTCGCGTCGTTTGAAACGCCTTTGAAAAAACATTGAAAGGCTGGTTACGATCTTGGGAGAGGTTCGCGTGGGACCTTTCTATCGTCGCGAGAAATAAAGGTTTAATAAAATATTTTATTCGACCACTGTCGCCGCGATTTCTAGTAGCACGCGATGCTCGAATACATTTCAATGCAAGTTTTCAGGAAAATATACTGTAATGGTTACCACGATAGCGACGAGATATGCAAATTAATAAAATTGATGCTTGCTTAATTGTTTTTAACGACGAATGTATCCGACGAAAACATGGAAGCACTCGCAAAATACTGAATTTAAACATTCCACGTCAAAAAATAGGTGGAGGACATCGATTGCATTAAAACACAAGCTCGAGTCCAACTTCGCTAACGCGTCTGACTGTCGCTCGTTATTTCCACTCGCGTTGATACGTATAAACTCTGATGGTGGTATAGTGTTTCTCGATTTCCATTCGCTTCTCTATCATCCACGCAGTTGCAACAACTAGATCAAGCTATGTAGTTATCATCGATGCTCGTAAGCGGTATCGCAAGTAGAAATAGCCATCGATGGCCAGACGCGCCAGCCGAGTCGTACTCGACTCCACGTGTAAGTGTAAATTTCGCGGTGTCCTTTCCCTAGAGTGTTAAAACGTGCAAGTTTAAAAGAGAAGCACACATTCGACCAGTGTGTTCCATGTTGGGTCTTACATGGCGTTAAAACGTGGTTTTACGAGCTGACCTCTAGGTGCAGCCTTCTATCGTGATAATGAATAATTAAACGAAACACGCTGTAAAGGATCAAACGGGCCATTTCGGATCCAACTCGCTGAGCGTGTAGCCGAAATTCCGCAATTTCAACGACGTAACACTCGGTGAACTCGTCTTACTCGCGTTACTTAGCCGCCCTGGCGAGCGGTACGCTCGTTAATAAATGATCGAGAACACCGTGCTGGCATATGCAAGCCCCGGGGCCGAGGTCAACCGTGGCAAAGAGCGGAAATCGTGAAATGTATCTCGAGAAGGGTGCGAGCCGTGCGGTCGTTTCCACGCAACGGGTCAAACTAGTACCGCGGCTCGTAGGGAAACCGAGAAATGCACGGACGAAAGAGAGAGGAACCGTCCAATGGGACTGAAAACTCTTCCCCTCTCGGGCTGGAACGTAATTTCTCGGTATTAATGTTGCAAGCGTCAACGCGCCGAGAACCGCAGTATCCTAGCTGCAACCGGCCGTCTGCCACGGCTCGATCCGCGCCACTCAGACGCGCTGAAATTACGGGTGAACATTTCTATTTCCCGTGAGTATGTACAATGAGAGCGCGATTAAGATTCATGCTGCATTATTCAGGACGTAGGTGGGCGGAATGGTTCCGCTATGACGCAATTTTGTCCCCGGTTGGTCGAGATGCTTCATCAACTTCGAGCAAGGGTATTAACGTCTTCGCGGCAACTTTGGAGCGATTGTTCGAGTTCCCTCGAAATTCCTGTTCGTCCTGGGAGTACGTCGAAGAACATATTTCACCATTGCGATGCAATCGATACGACCATTAATGATTTCGAATAGATACTGTGTAAATGTTCCTTTTATAGAGCAACAATACTTTGTTCGAAGGGAACAGACAACAAAGGGTCGAAACGTTATCGAATTATACGCTCGACGCAACTCTTGCGCGTGAAATTGTTTGCTTATCGAGCATCGATCTAAATCTCTATTATTAATATAATAACGAATGGACCAGCTGCATACCAGAGCCCCTGTCGCGATTTAACACAGATCCAGCACGCCCCGTATCTTTCTTGCTCCAGCGCTCGCTGTGCATCGCCTGAAAAATGAACGGATCCGAGTAATTGACTTTTGTCCGCCGCACGAATTCAATTGAAGACACGCGCGATTGTGTGAAATTCTGCGCGACAATAACGACTGACGATAATCAACCATTCACGCGATACAATGCTTTCATTCGACGAACTTTAGATTCAGCTGCAGTCTACCAAATATGATCGATACCTCGCGAACGTAAAATTTCGCGAAATTATTTTTATTACCATCGATACGCGTCTCTATTATACCCATGGTTTCGATAAACAGAAAGCAGAATTACAAACACAAAGAGGTCAGTAATAATACCCCTCGGACTGGTCACGCAAGATTGATTTTCCGCGCTACCAACGACAGAAAAGCTGCGTGTTCTCGCAAACTATGACCTGTCCCGCGCATTGAGCTTCTCGAGGGACACATCAACGCCGCATGTGCCGAGAAAATGTGAAAAAGTTTAATGGCTTCGTTAACTCTTAACTGTTCGTTCGCGGGTTCGTGATAGCTGCTCCGCGTAATTGAATTCGTCGCTCAAAAATCAGGATTTATGTAGACGAATCCATTACACGATCAAGAAACGAGAAATTGCATATTATGTAAATTTTCGTTAAACGACTCCGAACAGCACAGGGAGTGAAAGCTGGATAAATAGGTATTTATGCGGTAGATAAGAGCGAAAGTTGAACAGGCTGGAGGGAGAAACCCATTGACTCGGTGCAATGGCACGAGGAACACTTATCTGCTTCCCTAAGTCAAAGCACAGCGATTTAGGAAGTTCGACTGAATGGACTTCCACGTTGGAAACGAAACGTTTGGCTCGCCTCGCGGATCATTTTCGGAAACAAACTCGCGACTGTATTCGCTGATCAGGATGACCCTCGTACATCTCGAAACACGGGTGGGGGAGGGGGGGAGGGGGGGGGGAGATTAAACGTTTGCACGACCCAATTCTCGCGAGAAGGTGCGATTCTGCGGTGGTAATTGCACGGAAACTCTCCGATGTTCACGAGAGACCTCCGCGACCGAGTCTTGTGGAAGAATCTCTGGAAAACCGAGAACTTCGAACAACCCTCTTCGCGGTAAATGCCGTGTACAACAGCGTTTCTCAACACATTTTCTCTCGTGATCCACTTCTAACCATTCTTTACCTCTACTAGTCCCTCTTTTTTCGAAAAGCGTTTTAATCGGAAACTTCCAACTCGTTATGGCCCCATCGTAACATATAGATGCATGGAAACTCTTTTGCAACAGATCTACGATGAATTTTTTACCATATCGCGACACCGTCGTGATGAAGGATAAAATATCGCAAAGTGGGATGGAAAACAATTTCATTTCATTCCATTGGTGACGATGAACGTACCAGTTAAATTGCGAACGGGGACAGTAAATATCCAGCGTACATGACCCGAATCTTCGTGTCCTATATGTTTACGATCGGGGAATACATTTTTTTTTTCCACTCGCTTCTCGTTGTCATCTCTTTAAATATATTGCACGTCAAGATGAAATCTGGCGCATGGCGTGCGCGAAAATATCGTCACTTTCCCTTGGATGTACCGATCCGGCAAATTTGATAAACACAAAGGAGCAGGCACGCGGCGGACGAGATTAAAATATTTAATAAATTCCTTCGGAAAATACCTGTTTTGTCGGCGAAGAATTCTACTCGGAATGGCGGATATTTGTCCGCGCTTTTTGACCTATAAAACGAACCAACGCGCTCGCAGCGTGAACAAATCTGACACTTAATAAATAGCGTATCATTCTCCACCTAAGTGGCCCCTTCGCTACGGAAACACACGTCGTCGTACTTTTTCGTAGTCTTCTTTTGCCTCGGGGACTATTTGCCTAGTTTTTCGGGGCGACTGCACACGAACGCTGTCTGCGAGAGCGCGCGGCCGAGGGTGGCAAATTGATCCTCTCGGAAACAATAGGCAAAGGAACGAGCACTCGGAAATGGCCCACTTAACCGTCCATCCTTGGCAATATATCGATATCGCTTCGACGGCGTTGCTTTTGTCGTCGAGAACGGTGCGGATACCTTCTATAATTGAGGCGCGGTGATTTCTGTCTGCCCCTTTTGCGGACCAGGAAGCAATCGACGAGAAGGACGCGAGACTCATTTGTGTCTTCGAGCGTAAAGGAACGTACACAGACTGCGGCGATATTAGCACGCGAGGAAGGCCAATATGTTGACGTCAATGTGTTTGGGAGTCACTTTTCGCCCTATTTGGGCGTGTCCATCAAGGGCAGTCCACTTTAGAGACCGTAGAGAGATCTTATTTCGAAGAAACGTTTGCTTTTAACGCTATCAAAGTACCAACAGAGAATAGACAAGCTTGGAACTCCGAAAAGGCACAACAGACTTATCGAGGCGCAACACCTTCTACGTTTGTTTCACCCTGTACAAAACTTCCCGAATAATCGAAAGTCAAATACTCGCTCATAGGTAGGAGAAACACACGATTATGCGACGCTGCACGGAATAAAGTGTAATTGCACGGGAAGCAATTCGTGCCTGAGCGCCATTCGCGAGAGGAATGTTTCATAGTCGGAGTATTAGGCATCGTATGCCTTAGAGTGTAACGCACAATTGCTAGATCCCCACGAGGAGATGGTGAAATGAACGTCGCAACAGATGTAACCGATGATACCACTTCTGGTACAAAAGCCATTCAAGTTTAATACGCGTACATTGCGCTAATATGATCACGTCATATGGGAAGCACGACGGTCTATTAACGCGGGTAATTGTGATAGATTC